TGAGTGTTTGCTGAAGCAGTTCAAGCTGCAACTGCAGCAGCAGCGGCTGCTGCAGCTGGCTGGGTGAAATCAGCTGGTGGCCTTGTGTGTGGGGGGATCCCCATTCCTGCAGGGGTATTTGGGCCTCCAGGGTAACTAACATGGAAAAAAAGAAAGAAAGAAAGAAAGAAAGAAAGAAAGAAAGAAAGAAAGAAAGAAAGAGAAGGAGAGAAAGAATTATACGTGCCTGGTGGATTTTGTTTTGATTTTGATCCTCATCTGGATCTTTTGGAACTGTTCCGAAACCATGTATCAATGTCTAACGAAAGCCAGCAGGATGGAGAATTAGGTATGACCATGAGATACAAGTGTTGCTCAGGTGCAAGAGTCATAGCGCTGCCACTAGGATTGCAAGGCACCACTACAGTCAGTTGTTGTGGGGGCAGTGAACTGCTTTGCCCCTCTGTAGCCTACTGCAAAATTTAACGGAAATACTGGAAGTTAATGCATGCTCCATTTCCCAGTAGTGTAGGGGCAGGCTGCACAGCAGCAGGAACAGAGAGGTTCCTCCACTACCGTGCGTTCATCTGCCTCAGTGGTGAATTACGCCAAGCGTTACTGTAACAGTATTCCTCTCTGAACCTCAGCAGAAAGGCCGGGAGAGACCAAATTCAATCAGCTCTACTGGATCCCACACAACATACTTTGCAGTTTCTACCCAGCTCTCCTACTGATCATAAGACAAATTAAGCTAAACCATGCATTTCCTACTCCAGGACATCAACTATCTTTATAAACACGGGCCAGTGTCCTGTGTCCGTTTTAGAGATGTTAACACAGAGATAAAGAAACTTTCTGAGTTCCCTGAGGCCCAGGCTTACATTCTTCACCCTAGGCTGACTATGCTAACAAGCTTTTCAGGAGGCTTTGCAGTGGGACCATAAACAGTGCTTTCAGTTAAGTGGACTTACCACCCTTGTTTACAAAGCATAGACATAGAAAGTCAAAATGTAACAAAACCCAGGCTATTCGTTTTGATTTATTTCAATAGTGCAGCATTTACTTCCTCTAAAAATACACAGGTTGACCATCTCTCTTAAACATCTTCACCCTCAATTCTTTCCAATTTTGCTGTGGAGTAAGTCTTTGGGCAGAAATATCCCACTACGTAGGAATCTACTCTGCCTAATACTCAAGCTTACTCCTCCAGACGCACGTAGAAATTGTATCATCAATACCTTTCACATCCTGGCCTTATTAAATGTTAATCATCCCTAAGCCTGTGGTCTGTTTAACAATCTCTCTTAATTAAAACTTTATTTTGGGGGTTTATTAGAGCTAATTGATTGACCTAAGCCATTTCCATCTACTGTGATGAATTTCATTGTAGTTTGGGTAGCTGATTTCCAAAGCTGTAAAAGCAGTATGCACTTCAGTTTACCAACATAAAATAGCTACTGAGACTTTTTATAATTAAAATAAGCCCACAACACTTCTGCCAGGTCACTACAGCAAACTTCACCAACTATTTACATCTATTTTCCGCCTCAACACAAGCAAATCTTACCTGCCACCAAAGCCTCCACTTCCAGGATAATTGGGTCGCCCATACATGCCCTGCTGTATGTACGGCTGAGTGGAGCCTGCCTTGGCTGAAAATTGTTGCTGCTGTCCAGCAAACTGAGGGGAATTGATTCCAGGGGTGCTGGTAGTCATCCCAGAAGCCATGGGATTTCCTGCTGGGTTCATAGGATTGTTAGCATTTGCCATTGGATTTCCCAGCACCTGTGAGAAGAAACATGAGAATAAGGAGCTGTACCTTGAACTACATCAAGCAAATTAAGTTGACTTGCTGCAATCGATAACTTACAATGTAACCATGCTGTACTCTGAACTCTAATGAGCATACACCTTGCTGATGTCTAGTTGCACATTCCTGGTGATCTCTCCTTTTGCCATTTCCAAACAAACAAGAGTTTCTGATCTCTAATTATCCTTCACAGGAGATTTTTTACCTCAATGGAACCCAAACTAACATGCTTACAAAAAATGTTATGAAAAAGACCTGCTAGAACCATGCCCTGCAGGTGACAAATTCATCTGATTAAGAGAAAGTACCTGTGATTTTTTGGTTGGTTGGTTTTTTTTTTTTTTTGTTTGTTTTTTTAATGCAGGACTTCAAAATAACTTGCAAATATTCAGTCCCACTGACATACTCTAAAGGGTACTACAGATGCAAAAACTGTGAAAGAATTCTTTCGGTGGCTGTTCTTCAATCTCTCTCTAAAGTGTACAGATGTCTGTCAGTTGTTTTTGTTGCTTCTTAGAAAACAGTCCTCTGTTCTGTTTTTAAAAGGACTTGGTTTGCTTGCTTGAAGCATTTTGTTTTTCAGCTGAACCAAAATTGCTATGACTTCCACTGAGGTGTAAGTGTGGCTGTTCATGGATCACTTGCATGGAAATGTGTCCCTTACTTGGGAAGAAATTTAGTGGTCATGATTTCTGCAGAACACCAAGGTTTGGGAATTTGTGAAGGGGAACTGGTGAGCCTGGCTCATTCCTTTCTCTCAGGGAGCATGAAGATTTATGGGAAACTCTGTCATTCATTTCAGTGCTCTGAACAGCTACAACTAAGCTTCATGTTTCAGAGTTTCACCTTTCCATTTCAGTGATTCTGAAGAAGCTTTTTCTTCTTTTTACCAAAGTATTTTTTTTCTTTCATTGCACATTCCTCTGAAGTATCATGAAGAGTTCAAGTAACATTACAGTGTTCTGATAGAACAAAACTCCGAGTCTTTTTTTTTTTCCTTTCCTTTTGGCTTTTTAAGTGTTAAAAATTTCCACAAGAAACAGTATTTCCATTTTCTGGCAAATGTATAGACCTATGTGTTTACTTAGGTGTTTCTGCACCAGATGGGATGCCTTTTCATTTAAGGTGTTAAAAAGAAATCAACAATAATAAATGATGTTATAGATCCTGTAACTGTTCTCTTTATTTTTTCTGGAACAGTTTTCCCACAACCAGCGCTTACGCAATTACCATGCGATATCTATACAACTTGGCCCATGAATGATTTCTTTTTCAAATGGCTCAATCTATAACAATTTTGGTTTTCATTTTCTGAACAAAACTAAAATAATAAGAAAAAAATCCACAGCAAATTTTGTATGAAAAAGATAGAAAAGACAGGTTAGATTTATGTACCATTTGCACTCATTAAAGATGGTGACGTGTTTAGAGTACTTCAACCACCGTGTAAGAAAAGGCTAGACTGTCTGAGAGCTTGATTCATGCAATACCCCTTTGAGAACACACTATCACAAATAATTGGCACCTCCTTCATTAAACCTGCTTCTTTTTGTATAGCATAATTCAATATACATTGCAGAAGAAATAGAGAGGTAAGAGTGGAGAGAACTGAATGAAAATCCATTAAGTATGGCTCTCACCTGGAAGCCAGGAGCTTATGCTTTTGCTCCAGTGCATGCTGAAATATTTCTGCAAAGTAAGGCAGTATTAACAGGAGAGGTTGAAGAGAGCATAGCTTATAGCTGGTAGTTAGCAGCTTAGCATGGGTGTAGACCTGGAGCTGGATTTCACCAGCCCACAAGTATGACACAACCCCACGTAAAATGAACAATAACTGCCATTTGGTGAATCTACCTAGAAATTTTATTTTCAATAAAACAACTCTTCAAATTCAATCTGAAATTCCCAAGAGGTTTGGGAATAGCCCAAACCCACACTTTTGGTGTTGAAATGATATAGTACAAAATATGTGCTAAAGCCAAGCCTGACATTTGCATGACACTAAAGGAGTTACTGACTCAAGCTCTCATATCCCTCCTTTCTGATACCACCAAAGAGGACACGACTGGAAAAACAGTGCAACACATACAACAAAGAGAACACAGACAGTGTTATCGATACCAAAAGGATTTTCCAAAAAGCTTTCCATTTTGCAAACATTAGTGAAACCCTGTACCTAGAGGGGAGGGGGCATAAAAACGAAGCTTACCTGGCTTTGAGAGGTGTTAGTCACACCCCATACCGTGGTAACCACTGATAAAGAGCCTGGGGGCTGGTTGGTATTTTGCTGCCAGGGAACAGAATCGTAAGGGAAAGACCCATCACTGCAAAAATAAATGTTTACCCAGGTGAGATTTTGGATTTTTAAACAGCGGCAAGTTAGTGGTGGGAAAAAAAAGGGATTAACACCTGATTTCACCTTAACTTCACATGCCTTTTTCTATTATTAGTCTAGTACTCTCAGAGGCATAAAATTTCTTTAATAGCAACGTGAGCATATCAAAAGCACACAGAACTAATGAATTCCGTAACTCTATTGAAGCACAGGGCTTTTACCATAAAGGCCTGTTACCAATGAAAGTAAAAATAAACTCGGGGTAGGGTTTCAAACAAGGATACTAAGTAAGTTGCTCAGAAGCACTTATTTTTTGCAATCCATCTCAAGCTCTTCAACAATCACTGCTTCAGCTGCCTTGTATCAATTCAATTAGATTTTGAGACCAGACTGCAGCTCCACTGTCTGCACTGGGTCCCCAAATAGCCAGAAGAGCCTTTAAAGGAATAGCAGTTCAACATAATTTTGAAAAGCAAATTGAAATTCAGATAGTGTTCTCCCACATGATGGATAAGCTGCATGCCAAAAACAGTATTAGCTAATCAGCATGCTAGAAGATCAACTGCAGATACACAACACATCTTTCAGATAAATATGTGGATGAGAGGATTGGGTTTTTCCATTAGCTTTGCCCACAGATACAAGCAAACATTATTCTTACAGTTCTCTTCATATGAAAGCAGTGCTGGTTTCAGAATGAACACAGGATAGGTACGCAGCCAGTGTAATTAATGAAATATGCTAAATCCAGTGAAAGGATCTATTAATCTCATAACTGTAAAATATATCCCACTTGAAATTTGCTCGTTCTCATACTATTAATTTGTAAATTACATTTCTATTTGCATATATGTACACATACGCACACATGATCTCTCCTCATCTAGATAGATATATATATCTCATGTAATAGAGACGCACATTGCTCTTTCATTTTCAAACACTATTGATCTGCATTTTATACCAAGAACTGCATTTTTTCCCAGACTGCCAGCTATCACTAGAATTCTATAGAGGGCTACCTTGCCTAAAGAATCCATACAGGCTCTATGAGTGCTCTATCTGCATGCTTCAAAGCCTGCACCATGAAGTGCCACACAAGTAACTCACAGAAGACATGGCCAGACAACCAACCTGCCAGTGTTCTAGAAAGGGCTCTGTGGCAGACAAGGGAGCTGACTCTCCCATGTCCCCAGGCAGCAACTCCACGCTTGGACCGATTCTCCTTCCTTTTGTGCTATGAGCCAAAACCAAGGACTATCTATGTCTTCCTTCTTTAGCCTGTTCATAAAATCTACTGTAAATCTCTTAGGAATAGGCATTCCATTGCACAAAGAAGTGCACAAACATGTGACATCTAATAACAGCAACAGAACTGTGTAAGGTAAAATGAAACAGTGAATACATTTTACAAACAACTGGCAAATTTCAAACAAATTTCATAAAGCTGTGGCAGCGCAACAGCATTGTATTAGAACATAACTGTGAATTCAAACTAAACTATTTGTTTCAAAATACTCGAATTAAGCGATAAAATCACCGAAAAAAAAACCCCAAAAAACCCAAATTAGATTAGGAAAAAGAATAATTGCCCCTAGCAATCAATTAGGGAAAATTGATGGAAAACAGTAATTCTCTGTAAGATGCTTGACATATAATGTTTAAGTTGACAGCATCCATATAATATTATGTGTGAATAATGGCATATTTAACACTTTGCAACCAGTAAGTCCTCCTAGACCATTTTTCTTCAAATAGTTTCTCTTAGGAGGCTGAAAATCTTCCCCCTCTCATTCGGAGACTCAGACAACGGCTTCAATGACTAATATTTGCAAGTGACGCAATGCTTCAGCAAGCCCCCTCCACCAGCATGGAGACAAACGATGACTAACCCAGAATTTGTGACTGCTATGAAGCCTTCCTCTTTTTTCCTGCTCTGAATGATGCCTCCTACTTCACTTCCTTCTCTTACTGCTTTTGATGATGCCTGCTGTGATTTGTTTGGATATTTATGACAGGTACGAGTGTTTGGATACTTCAGTGACTACAAAGAAGCCCTCTCCCTACTACACAAGCAGCTAAAAGACTCACTGCAGCCATTCCTTTCTGTTCCCCACTGATGTGCTGTCAACAGGTAATAAAACTTGAGGGACAACAAATATTTTGCAAGTGTACAGGTAAGTAAGAAGGGTAATGAAAGGCAGGAATCAAAACACAGTCACTGAGTGTTCTTCTAATGCAAATACGCTGTTATCATTTGTATGCATACTCAGCTAGCGATGCCCTACCCTGCTGCTAAGAGGTTATAACTATTTCTTAATTTCCTTTGCCTCCAAAGCACGCTTCTCTTACCCCTTCCTCTCCTTTACAGTACACAGAAGAGTTTCATATATTATTCACACATACTTTCCAACGGTAGAGTCAGAGGATTTGTTTAGTGGAAGGCTGCACTGGGTTCTCAAAGACTATACAATCACTTCATCTAATTACAAAGAAGAATAAATCACTCAATTTTTACTGTGCTACAGAAACCATATTGGTGATATACGATGAAAGCCTCCAGCACAGGATCCAGCATAACATTAAGAAAGCCAAAAAAAAAAAAAAAAAAAAAAAGAAAAAAAAAAAAAAGGCCAGGCATGGATTTCTTGAGAAATATTCATTGTGCGCATTGAATCACATGACCATTACATTATCCAACACAGGACTTACCTTTAAATTGCAGACAACATTAATATCAGAAATTATGGCGACACTGAAATACTGATGGACACGCCTTGCAGAACTGTGAGGGTGATGAGACACTGGAACAGGTTGCCCAGGGAAGCTGTGGATGCCCCATCCCTGGAGGTGTTCAAGACCAGGCTGGATGAGGCTTTGAGCAACCTGGTCTAGTGGAGGGTGTCCCTGACCATGGCAGGGGGGTTGGAACTCGATGATCTTTAAGGTCCATTCCAACCCAAAACATTCTATGATTCTATGAACATCAACTTATACAACCTAATATACACTTGCTGTGCTAGACCTCACTTCACTCAAACTTCACTTTAGTTACCCGAATGAGAAATACATGGCTCTCTGGTGGTTTGTATTCCCCACCACAATACTCTGGCCCATCACCAATTACACATATGTTTGAGTATGACTTTTGCAACTCAACTAAAGGATTAATTGTCCCTCCACTTTACTCCTTCAACTTGCGTTTCTGTCCTTAGACAACCCAAAGGAATACTCCTACCATCAAAGTAAAATCCATGTAAGTAATGAAATGTGACAAATCCAATTCTCATTTGCAAAAGAGCAGTGGCTTTCCACTGTTATTATACGGCATGAATTATGTGAATTATCCTGAAATCCCTTTCATTAAAGTTGAAAATGGCAGCCAACAGAGAAAGAAGCTTCAACCTCTCCAGCCACAGCAAAACGCTGCCCACAACACTGTTCCTGTTGAACGGTAGAAGGGTAATTAAGTCTCTCACTACACCCTGGAGGGCAGTGAGTCAGTTTGGGCTCAGCTGGAGTCCACTAAAAGAGTACTGACTAAATTTATAACAGCGTTAATGAACCTATACATACTACTGGTCAACATTAAAGGCCGAACAGCAGAGGAAGCCATAGAGCAAAGAGAAAGAGATGGAGGGAAATTACTTCTCAAACTATGATGTAGTAGAACTGCAATCAAGGAATAAGGAGAAAGGATTTCTTAGCTGCTGGCAAATGTACTGAAACTACCCATAACACAACATTCATGTCGGAGAGGTACATCAGTGCTCAGGTCTAAACAGCTTCTCTTAATCCCAGTACTAGGAAAACAGAACCAGGCAGATACCATCCTCTTTGGAATAGTTACAGACTGTTAGTTAATTCTAATAAAAGTTATTTAACAGAAAGTGAGCTCTGTAGAGTAAATTAATACTAGTGAATTACTGTAATTTATACATCATTTGTGGCATTATTTGAAAATGCTGTATTTTATATGTGTTTATGTTGTCATTAAAGCAACTGCATGTGTATCTGATACTGTTTACATGCCTTCATTAACTGAGGAAGAAGAGATCAGATGGTTTAGTAAAGTACACATCCCTAGAGCGTTGGTACTCTACATGTTGTGGAGGAGGGTAAAAATTGTAATTATACCTTCCTGGTGATTTTCCACATTGCTTGTTGAGAAGGCTGGGTGTCTAAAACTACCTTTATAAAGCATCCATCTCCATTTTAAACACTGAAAAATCTTTCAACTACTGCAGAAAACCACCAGAGGTTGGCTTTCTCAAAAAACCCTTTTCACTCCACGAACTGCCATCAAGTTTCCCACAACTGTGCTTTCAGTGACTGGTTTCTGTTGCTTACCCTCAAGCCCGCTTTACAGTTTTGCAGTAGTCTTTAATGTTTGTGAAGCACAGTAATCCCACCAGACTGGTAATTGACACACAGAGTCCACACAGTCCTGTGAATGTACTGACTCTATCATAACTTCTTTGGTTGACGCCAAGATGAGCAGGTAATTGCCAGTGTAACACCGACTGTCATTTCTCTCATGCCTTCTTTTGTCACCTACGGACACCTAGAGAGGAGAACATCTGACGACAAGGAGTGAGATGTCAGATTTACCCAGGACAAACACTTCTTTGCAGTTACACAAGGCCAAAAACTAGAATGGTCGAAATACAGCCCGAAACTGGGGCTCCTGATCTGTTCTTGTCCGCTGGCACATCTCTCTGTCTGCACCTCACTCTGCTTCTACAGCTGCCTCTGGGCTCCTGTGTGCTCAGGGTGCCCAGCACCCCTTGGCTGTATTCTTGGTTGGAGCCTCTAGGTGACACTACTTTAATACAAACTAAAACATAACAATCTCCAAACAAGATCCCTCTTCCCTCTTTTGCCCTGAAACTGTCTGAAGTGGAAAAATATCACAAATCCCACAATCAGAACACAAAATAAATCCCTGGACAACTGTAGCACCAATACACACGTTTCATGCCCGTAGCG